ATGTGGTGAGAAGGGGGCTGAACGGGTGCTCTAGATCTCTGACTCAAGAGCTACACAGTTGTGATCTCTCCAGCGAGGGGGAGATAGAGGGCTACTCCTTGGTTTTGTCCCCCACCCTCAGGGAGCCATATCATTGGGAGCCGGTACTCTCCCCTGCCAAAGAAGGAACTGGCTGTTAATGATCAGTTGATGAAAAGCAGCAGATGCTGAAGACAGCCCTTACCCTGAAGGAGTGGCAGGGACATAAAAAGCTGCTCTTGTTATACCCCCACCACTGCATTTTCCCCCTATCACTTCCACAATCCCAGGGAAATTGGGACCAAGCAAGGCCAGGGGCTATGGTTCAAGGGCTCCTCAGGATGGTTCAAGCATCAGGGGAATGGCCCCTGCCCCTGCCCCTTTCACAGAGATGCACTGGGACCATGCATGGGGGCAGAGCGAGGAACAGTGGTGCTGCTACATGAATTGTTTCAGGCTCCCCGGAACTTTTCAGAGGATAGGGAGGGGGAAGTAGGGCTGTTCCTGAGCAACCAGAGCTACCCCCACCCCCCCAGGACTTGGGCTGTTCCTGGCTCTTGCCTGTGTTTCAGCCCCAGGGGTAAGGCTTCAGAATACTGTAGGGCGAAGCCACACCAGCTAGCACAGCTGGAACTTGGCCAGCTGTGTGACTGGGACACAACACTCCCTACCCAGTCCTGCTAATCATCTGATTGGTGGGATGGGGCAGGAGGCAGCCCCCAGAGCCACTTCCTGCCCAGTGCCACCAGCTGGGAGTGGGCAGAGGGCTGCAACACTGGACAGCCTGGAGGAGGAAGTGGGAGAGCAGGGACCATGGGATACGGGGGGTCCTAGTGACCCATAATACTATGGATGGGTGTTATATATGTTATTAGAAAACTTTGTGGTGCAGTAAAGTTGCTTTTTGAAAGAGCTAGAAGTTTGTGGCAATATCACTATCTTTTGTTTTCTATCACAGACTGCTGGAATGCCTGCGTGATTACTTTTTGTGTTGCAAAGGACATATTTCCCAACACAAATGTAATGCCTATCCATAGCCATTCTCTCTCCCTGTTTACAAAGTAAATCCTGCTCTCTCCTGAGTCCAGGGCTGTGTTCACATAATGTTCCCTCTTTTCCAGAACTTAAATGGATGAGATGAGGTGGGAATGTGAGCTATCCATTTGTCTGCTTCCAATCAGATGGGCTATCTATGGTGCCATTCTACATTGCCAACTAATACAGTTGTCTTTGTTTTTTCTCATGCACTGCCTTTCACACCTGTAAGGAACTCCCTGGAGACATCTGCAGAGCCAACCCCTGGTTCTCCTTCATATCCTTTCTTAAAACTCTCCATTCTTGTGCAGAAATCTTGATGGTGGTCAAGCTGCAGATGCACTGATATTATTGCCTGTCTTTCTGACAGGGCTCAGTACTGTTTCCTTGTACTTCCTGCCTGTCGGTCTGAGTTTACTTGTTGCCTCTTGTCTAGAATTAGATTGCAAGATCTCAGAGGCACAGATTTCTGCCATTACTTCATATTTGGACAAACATGCCTCGCATGAAAGGGCCCTAGTTTATGAGTAGGGCTTCTAGGTTCAAGGACAATAGAGACAATAATAAATAACTTCTATTTGGAAAGCTTCCTTACGCTGCCTGCTGCTCTCATCCTGCTCAACTGCTGTCTTTAAACCACAGTGGGGTCAAGTGACTTGTGTAGAACTTTCCAGCTGAGGACCTCCAAGGGCTTTACAAAATCTTACAGAATTAAATCTCACAGTGCCTATGCCAGAAAAATAGGCACTTTTCAGATGGAGATGCCAGAACATTGTGGGCCTGAGTGACTTGCTGTCGATCAGACAGAAAGTCTGTGGCATAAATGGGAACAGAAATCAGATTTTTTGATCTTCAGTCCTGGACAGTAGGTACAACTCCATTGTTTCATTTTTATGATCTGACTGTTGGCTCTGGATTTAGGACCCATATACCTTGTTCCATGGCGGGGACCCATTCAGCTACAACCTTTCCATTCAATAATAGGCAAATGTATTGATTCTCAGTGATAACAGAAAAGAAACAATAGAAACAATATAGCAATTCTATATCTACCAATCCTAGGGCTGTCATCAGAGTCAAAGTACAACTGTCCAGGATGCAGTCTTCACTCTGAGGCTTGTCTTAGGTGTCATATGTCAGCAGCCTGGAGGTGGGATGCCAAGGTCCATACTCCTCCCCCTCAGTGTGGTGGATGAGACAGGCTGGTGGTGTGCCCTGTGTCCATGGTGGCCTCGGGGACCCTCCCAGGAGACGGGAACCCCTCTTGGGGAGGAGGAGGACCCGGGAGGGACGAGGAGGGACAGGGAGGAAGCCTTCGCTGCTCCAACATCCTTCTTTTGTATTCTCCTTCCCTCCTGATGACTCCTGGTGACTCTTCATCCATGGCTATCGCTGATTGGTCTCTCTGTGCCTTATGTCCACGTACCTTATCACATACACACATACTAATTTGGTGTTTCCAGGCCTTCTAATTTGGTCTGTTCCCCCCAAACTGGGACTCAGGCCCCCCGACTCTGGGGCTTTGTTAGCTGATTCTACCCTCATCTTATGTTATGGAGCAGTATGGTACGTATCCCCGCTTTCTCAGACTGTGTGTATCTGTTGGCCTTGTTGTGTTAAGACAGCCTGTCTGCTTTGAAGGCTGTGTGAAATTCTGTGTGAGACCCAGGCTCTTAAAAATCAGTTAACCTCTGCTGTCCATCCTGAACCATTCTAATACATACATACATACTATTATATTGCCTATGAGCAAATTTCCAAAAACACACTTCTAAATATCATTTTCTAAGCCAACACTGACCAATTCATTTATACATAGATATTTGCACACATATGCACTGAGAACACTATTCCAGCTAACTGTATGCTGTCATTAGATACATGCTGTGCTGGCAGTCATCAGACTTCCTGGAACATGCTCTTGGCTTAAAGACCTTGGTCATTTAGTTTAGAAAGCACCAGTGCATCTGCTCAAGTGCATTTTGGGATGTTTGTTCCACCATTTAAAAAGAGTGGCTCTTTTATTTTGACCATTTTCTCCAATGCATTTTCTACCAGCACTGGAATTTACTAGAGTCTTTCTCTGCTTTTGAAATACCTCATGCCATATTGATCTTTTTTTCTTGTAAATATTATTATTATGAATTTTGATGCCTCCGTACTTATAGCAGAACAAAGAGATTTGTTGTGGTGTGCATTTCTGTACTAGATTTTTTATAAAAGTTTTTGTAAATGAGCATAATTTAGAGCAATGTTTTTTTTTCACTTATGCCTGCCTTAGAAAAACAATATTTGTAGGATGAAGGATTTCTGAACACTTGCACTATAGAGAACATTTTTGTTTGATAGCACATTTCATGTTTGCTTCACCTGAATTCTTTTACCTGGCACAGTAATAATAATTATTTCTGTGTACTTATTGCCATAATCATAGAGTCTACTTTTTATTAACTAAAGCCCCTTTGGGAAAAAGCAAGTCCTTGATTATCTGGGAAAAACTAGATACTAAAGCAAATTTCCCTTCTTGCAATTGTTCACTTTTTATACCACTTTACAGAAGACAAATATCACCGGTTTACCTCCTATTCCCAATTCCATAATCATCGTTTCCCAATCTGCGAATGAAGATTTCCCTGGTGGAAGTAACAGGGAAAAGATTAGGTCAGTAATAAGGTTTTAAGACTAGATCCACAAAGATAGCTAAGCATGTAATTTATATTGAAATCAAAGGAGTTTTTATGCCTCAATATCTTTAAGGATCTTAACCCTAATATATATATAGGAATGTTGTCCAAAAACAGAAGGTTATTGCTTCTCTCCAGTTACACGACAGCAGTTAGGCATCTAGAATCATCTGCCCTTATCATCTGATAAGAATTAGCATCTACTGGCTCCCAGGCCAGTTAGAACATTGTACCCTAGATACCCCTTCAGACACAAGCAGTGGGATTATGACACCCACTTATAGCCACCTATTTTGCATGCATTCATAACCCTTTTCCCATTTTGGTTTTGAAAAGAATGTCATTTCTCATGCATAAGGCTGTGGGTTTATGCAGTATCTGATCTGCCCAAGTGTTCTTTCTTACTGTGATATTCAGCTCAGTGTTAACTAACATCAACAGACAGCCTGCAACCTAGGGCTAAAGGGTGCAGCCTTTAAAAGGGTGTCATTTAACCTAATTGACAATCATTAACTTGAGTTAAAGCAGGGCCATAAGCTCTAATCTATACATAGCCAGATCTGGGAGGGAAGGGAGGGATGGCGGGGGCAGCCTGCGCAGAAGACATATTCACTGACTTGCAAGGATTGGCTCCTTCTTGCTGTTGCTTTAATTAATTTAAAATAAAAGTTCAGTCTGAAAGTGTATATGCATGTGTACGTGTATTAATGAATATTCAGTAACAGCTGTGCAGGCCACTAGGGAGGTTTCCAGAGACCAGTGGTTGTGTCCAGACCACAGTTTGAATTAGAGCTATCTTTCTTTTTTTGATTGGAGACACATGCGGGCCCCTCACCCCCTCACTGCCTCCCTCTTCCCTGACTCCCTGTAAGACAGTCCATTCCCATAAAGCTGTTTTCTGAAAGATACGCTTTCTAATCTGTTGATTCTTCATGTTCATCTTCAAGTATCCAAGGCAGGCTGTGTTAAAGCTGTTCGGGATCAGAAGCGTTCTAGTCAAACAACCTTTCTTTCTTAGTTAGAAAGGAAGGAGAGTCTCTAGAGGAACACATGGACTAGCACTCAAGAGATCTGTGTTCAATTCTTGGCTCATCATTTCCATATGACCTTGAACAAGTCATTTAATGTCTGTTCTCCTCCTTTTGCAGGGGGTTAATAACAAATCCTTCCCTTACAGGTCAGTTGTCAGGATACATTCATTAAAGTTGTTCTAACACCACAGCTTTGAGCTCTGAATTAACCTATACTTTGTTTATGTTTCAGGCTTTAAGGCTGGGTGAAAACAGCTAGATGAAAGAAATATGTCTGTAGGGCTAGAATATTATTCAGTCCAAGAACTGACTTAAAGACAACTGCCATCTTAGCGAATCAGAAAAGTCTTCATGCACATATATTATTGGTTTAAACCCCCCCAGTAAAAATGATAGAACTTGAAGAACGTCTATTTGGCATTCTAGTTCCCCCACCTAAGGACCTATGCTTTTCTCTGCCATAGATTAATGGCAAATAAAAGGGGATGGGAATGCTGTGCTATGGAGATGATATTTCTTCACAGTCCAGCTGCCCTTGCACCAACAAGAAATGCTGCAGTGAGTAGGATGTGGACCAATGGCTTGAAGTTGCAGCAAAGTAGGTTTAGATTGGATATCAAGAAAAACTTCTTCACAGTAAAAACAGTGGGACAGTAGAATATACTGCCTAGGGAAGCTGTGGACACTCCATTACTCGAAGTGTTTAAGAAGAGGTTGGACAGCACTGGTCAGTGATGATATAGGCATAATTATGCCTATAGTCTACTATGGGTATTTTTCATGTTTCTGGGCTTTGTTCTTTGCCACCCCCTCTTGCTGTTACATGTGTCAGGGTGTTGGCTTCAGACAGGCTGCAGATTTTGTTTGGAGTCTCCCAGTGCTCCTGCTGGGACTTAATGCTGGAGGTTCCTGGCTGGCAGGTTGCGCCCTTCCTCTCAGGGTCAGACTGATCACTATATTTGGGGTCAGAAAGGAATTTTACCGTATGGTCAAATTAGTATGGACTCTGGGGAGTTTTGCTTTCCTCTGTAGTGGGTGGTGTAGCCCTGTACCTGGGATTTCTTGAGTGTATATAAAAACTTTTTATAGAGGTAGGACATTGGCTGCCCCTGCCTCACCTGTGGCAGGTTAAGGTGTTATGCTTTGTGTCAGGGTTGATGGTAGCAGTAGCAACACGTAGGAGGTATACGGAGGTGCATCCCCTGACAGCCAGCATTCCTGGGAAGGGGAGCAGGTGAGAGCACTGGTGCCCCCCTGAGAGTGCTGCCCAGGGAGTGGGGGTGCCAGGAGAAGCGGTCTCCCCATGGCCACTTGCGGGTCAGCAAGATTGGCTACAGGGGGACCCCCCACCCTGGTCAGCATCATCAGCTGCAGGCCCCCCCACCAGTCCACTGTCTACTGTGGGGGCAAGTGCCCCCCCCCCCGACACAGGATGCACTGCTTGCCCATGGATGGTAGTTTTATGAAGAGCTTAGATTATGGATTTGTATAGACTGATTTGAATTGGGATGATCCTGCCTTTGGCAGTGGGTTGGACTAGATATCCTCTGGAGGTCCCCTCCAGCTGTGATTTTCTATGATTCTAAGAATCTGTGAGCTAGTGGCAATGGTGGCAGCAACAATAAATTAAGCTGAATGTTTCTATCATATCCCTGAGAGAAATCTGCCATCACTTCTGGGGTGACTGGCTCTTTAAACAAATGCATCAACCATTGATGTTCTGCTTTCACATACCAGTGGTGAATTAAAGTGGTAGCATTGCTGGCTAAAATAGCTGTGCTATGAAGGGACTGTGAGGTATATACAGAAGTAGACAACTCTCAGGTGAAATCCGTGGAGTTTGCCTGAAGTTTCTAGGAAATTGCCTGCCTGCTTATATTTGACAAAGTAAGTCCCAACTTCCAGAGTGAAAACTGCAGCACAATTGCTACAGAGCAGAATTGCTAAAGATTTTCTTTTCAATTGCCTCTTCCCATTTGTTGTGAATTTGTGCAGGAAAGCTGCCTGCAGGCCTAAGTTCTGGAGTGCATCCAGCGATTGAAGTTCAGCTGTGTAGTGGCAACTAACTACTTTAATTCAGTTTGAAGTTACAGTAATTTAGCTAGAAGGAAATGTATTGCACAGAGCTATTCAATCCCACACATACATTAGACAGCAAATGGACTGTGCATTATTATTATATCACTGCAAATTTCTGTCAGTTGTTCCGTGGGAACAATTTTTTCATATAGAGAGTATTTAATTCTGGAAGCAATAGTCAATGCTTTGTACTGGAAGGAAATAGCCATGGACAAACCCACCTACAGAAGTTCAAATTTAGAACATGTAAAAATCTATCACCTGTTGTATTATCCATCATATTTCAAGTATGTACCACAGACAGAAACAGCAGTAGCCTAAATGTCAATATGGGATGGGAAACAGTTTCTGAGGAGGGGGAACTTAAAAGGGCTGTTTGTTTCTGTGATCTCGGGACTGGAACTCCTACATTTCAGTCCCCAGTTCAAAGGCATTACCTGAAGGTTATTATAGGGCAGGACTGTCCAACTGTCTGTGTAAAGAGTTAAATTGCAGATACCGGACACCCATCTGACCACCACTCCCCACCATTACTCCAGCAGCCAGGGACTCCAAGTTCTCCATCCCTCCAGCTTCTCCTTCCTGCCTCTGTCCCTGCCCCAGGGGTGGGGCAGTGGGTGGGTGCAGTTTTCAGGAGAGTCTGTAGCCTGGAGTGCCTGAGTGGCATGATGCAGTGAGGAAGCCCGTGGCCAGGTAGTGCAGGGTGAGTCAGGGTGCATGGTGCAGCCGGGGGGGGGGCGGGCTGGGGAGCAAGAGCAGGCGACATGTAGTGTAGCAGAGAGGTGCAGGAAGCAGCTGGGGGGTGTGATACAGTGGGGGTCACCTGGTGCACAGTGCATTGAGAGGGATGTACAGTACAGCAGATGCATGCAGAATGCAGTGGGGTACCCAGGGAGGATCAGTAGGGTGGTGCCTGGGCATGCAGTGCAGGGGAGCACATGGCGAACAACAGAATAGGGGTATGCAGTGCAGTGTGGTGGAGGCACTTGGGCACAGAATGCAGTGCGGAGGATGAGGAGAGCAGCAGAGGGAACATGGTACAGTGGGAGAGCACCCAGAAGCAAGATGCACCATGCCTATGACCCCTGGTGGTGCAGCTTCTGGTACTGCGGCTTGTGTGGCGCACAGCCGCCAGCCACTTAGAAGTTGGACAGTCCTCTTGCAAGCTACACTGCTTGTTGAAGCCTTTAAGAATCTTTTCTAGTAACTCTTACATAATCTGGGCCAATTCCATACTTGCTTCCTCCTAGCCACCAAAAACCACGTATATGCCCCCTGAGGATTTCTCCATGAAAGGGGAATCCTCAGATGGTCAGTTCACACTTGTCAACACCAACAGCAGCAGGTCTCAGCAAAGACAGAGCCAAGCAAGCCCCCCTCACACTTGTACCCCTGTGCCTGCTGACATACTCCAAGATCAGAAGTCTGGTTCATCCCCTCCGGTTACTTTCAGGACCACTGGAGACCAAGGGCTTGAAATCAGATACAGAGGGATGATCCTGATGTGGTCCAGGGTACTTCCAGATTTGGACACTGCCCAAGAGAAGGTTGGACATGCTTGAGTCCATCCATATTGGGACCTGCCATCTCTGTAGTGTAAACAAGCCATTGACAACTCTCTAGTCCCCTGGAACCTACAGAGTAGTCCCCATGGTCCAAAGGTTCTAGGCCCATAACCAGGAATATAATGAATGGGAACCATGGGAAATACACTGTGCTGGCCAAATTCTGGAAATGTGAGGTTTGGAGATTCTTCCCTCAGTGGTTTCTGTTTGGCGAATTAGGGTGTTGATAATAAGTGAAGCTTTGGGAGCTCTGGATGGAAAGGACCGTCTTGTAGTGAAGGCAGAAGCATGCTGTCAGCAGATGTGGTTCCTGACTTTTCCACAGGCATCCCATGCAGCCTTAAGTAAATTACTATGCTGTAGAATTCCTCATCTGTGAAATATCTGTAATATTCAAACATTGCAGTAAAGCTAAATTCAAATGTTTTGATACAGCCCTTTGGAGATATTGCACTGGAGGATACAATACGTGTGAAAATTATTTGTTGGATTGGATTAGTGAAGCAGCCCATGGGTTTAGACACATACCTGCTGTAAAGAAATCCCTTCCCCCTTTCTCTGCCCCTTACTGGGTCAGCCCAGTAAGACCCCTCTCTCTCCTTGCTTTCTCCTTGGTTCAGGCTGATCAATCAGGTGACCTGGCCAGATAAAATTCCTAGGGGAAAGGGAGAGCTCTTTCTTTGTCCTGGTGGGCATTTTGAAGTCTGCAAGCAAATGCCCCAGGCTGCTGCCTGTTTATTTTCCATAAGTAAAAATCTGGAAACTAGCCAGGAGTTAAGAATTATGTCTAGGCCTGTCACATCTTAAAAGGGTCACTATATCCAGACTTTGTAAGATTCTTATTGCTTATGTTTGCTCAAAGTGTATTCTGCCTTCCTTGTTCTACCCCCTCGTCCCCCTCCCCTCTGATCAATAAAGAAGTTGGGTTACAGCTTGCCTTGCTGTGCTACTGTGGAGAGAGGAGAGAGGCCTTCTACCCTGCTTGGCCAGCGAAGTTTGTCTTTTTATTTTTCCTCAGTTCTACCTGATGCTATCTTGGGATGCTTTGGGCTGAAAGAAGCACCCAGAAATATTGCTGTGGGCAAAGCACCCTCAAGGTTCACAGTGTCTGTGCGCCCCAGGCTGCACAGAGCCCTGCCAGAGACCAGTGTCCAGGTGGTGGCAGTGTTACTGCAGGCTTCCAGGTGTTCTCCAGGAAGCAGGACAGCCAGCTGTAGGCTTCCTGAGGCAGACTCCCAAAGCAAGGTTTTGAGCCGGGCACAGTGAGGCTGGTGGCTTTGCATAGTAGTGCCCTCTGCTGTGCATGCCATACCTGCCTTTAGTTTTATTTGAAGGTGGATATCTGAATTCCCACTATTGGTGAGTAAGCTATGGAAATACTCTACTAAGACTCCAACAGAAAGAGGGAAGCAAAATTATACTATACATCATAATATTTTCATATATGTAAAATTTATGTCCAAGTTCTGACAGAACTTGAGAAGGTACAGAAATTATGACCTATCATGATCATCCTCCAGCTACTCAAACTGGTCCTTCAGTTTACAGATAGAAGTGTGAAGCTTGCAGCCACTGTATTATTCAAACAGCATGCAAGAAAATGGATTTATGTCACTTGCATTACAGTGAGGAAAGAGAAGGAAAGAATGGCCATACAGCACATTATGGAACAGAATAACCTTGAACAGTCCAAGGAAGATGGATGTTCTCTGCTACCGAAGGGTTTATATCATCAGTGTTACCTTCCAACTGATATCAGT